GATGGCACAAATAAGCACATGAAAAGATGTTCAATATCACTAGTCATGAGGGAATGCAAATTAAAACCACGAGACATCACTACACACCTATCAGAATGCCTAAAATAAAAAAGTGGTAACACCCAAGGATGTGGAGAAACTGGATCTCTCAATCACTCCCAGTAGGAATGGAAAATGGTACAGCCACAATGGTTCTTACAAAACCAAAAAGTGCAGATGTCCTTCAACAGGTGACTGGGTAAACAAACTGGTTCATCCACACGATGGCATACTACTCAGCAGTGAAAAGGAACTCTTGGTACACACAACAATCTGGATGAATTACCGGAGAATTATGCTGAGTAAAAAGATCAATCCCAAAAGGTTACAAACTACATGATTTCACTTATATAACATTCTCGAAATGATAAAATTATAGAAATGGAGAACAAAGTTCTGGTTACCAGGAGCTAAGGAGGGGTAAGGGCAGGAGGGAAGTGGCCGTGGCTATCACAAGGTAACGAGGGATCCTTGATGATGGAAACATTCAGTATTTTAAATATATCAACGTCCACATACCGTTTGCGCTATGCATTATCGTTGTGCAAGATGTTCCCACTAGGATAAGATGGGTAAAGGGCATGAGGGATCTCTATGTTATTTAACAACTAATAGCACGTAAGTCTACCATTATCTCAAAATAAAAATTAGGTTCTTTTTTAAATAGCATTATCTCAAAATAAATTTTTTTCCAATGGCATTATCCCCAAAGGACTTATCAGTCAAATCATTTGTCATCAGATTTTAATATTTTAGTTATTTTAATATTTCTAGTTTTCTTGTTGACAGGCAATAGAAGAGCTAGAAAATTCCATCTCCAACAACCTGGTTCCAAAGCATTTACCAAGTGCTTGTCATGTGCAACTCGGAGCTAGGGAAACAGGCAAAGAAGAGGAAAACAATGCAGATTTAGAAGAGAGCTTGTACTTCCAATGAATTTGAACAGGAACTATAGTACTGAGCTCAAGACACTTCATAAGGAGCTTCATTATTCCTGCCCATAAACATAAGTATTTCTAAACGGAATAGGGGCAGCACCCAACGAGTGTTATGACCAACTCACATGTAAGTAACTCCAAAGGAAGTCTTCTCTTCCTTCCTTCCTTACTCCCAGCCACTGTGAGACACTTCCTGCCAGGAACCTCCCACCCCCTCCTCTCCCTGTCTCAATTCAGCCCAGACCACCCCCTACATGTTAGTTGGACAGAAACAGGACAGGGGAAAGGTGAGACTCATACACACTTCTGTCTCACAGACACACACACACACTCACTCTTCTCTCACCCAACTTGCTGTAACTCCTCTGAATATGAACACCCAAAGGAAGAAAAGAACAGCAAAGGGGAAGGGCTGGTTAAGGCCTCCAGCTGCCAGGCCTCCTCTCACTGGGCGTGTCATCAGAAAAGGAAGAGACAAAGGGAAAAAGAAAAAAAAAAAGGAAGTAAGGAAAGAAAAGCTATGCTACATTCATACTGCACCCAACTGCAGCTTTCACAAAACAAACAAAAGCCCCCAACTCTGTCCACTTCTCCCTTCTCCAATCCCAGAAGCATTTCCCAAGTACCTCTAGAACTGAGTTCCCCCTAAAACGGAGTTCCCCTGCCAAGTATGACCAGTCTCTCTACCCAAAACTGTATTCCCTTTCCTGTCCCCTCTGACCGCAATCCTTTGCTAACTGAGCAGTGATCAACCAGTCAGCTGACTGCAACTGTTGCTGTGGATAGCATCTTTAACGCACTATACAAACTCAGGTTGTCCCTCCAGGGCAAGATGAGCTCACAGACCCCCGAGCCATGGACCACCTGGCCAGAGAACTGTAAACCAGAGACATCCCAACTCTCTAAACGAGTAAGAAATGTCACAAGACAATGATTAATTCCAGCCTCTTTGTTCTTCCCCCTTTGAAAAAACAAAAAAAACCTAACTCAAAGACCAGGTTGGAGTGGATCTGAGGCTTGTCTCCCATCCCTTGGTTGGTGCCCTGCAGTAATCTTGTACTTTCCTTCACCACAAACCCCATGTTAGTCAGACTAGCTTTGCTGCATGTAGGGTGAGTGGACCAAAGTTCGGTTCAGTAACACCTCCTTCCCTTGAAAACACACTGGTCTCCTCCCAGCTTTGCTGGAGCCATGCCTCAGAAGTCACATTCCAAGAAGCTGGAAAATAAATACCGAATGTATATAATCATCATTTGTGAATACTCTAACCCTTGCCTTCTAGTAAAGCTTTACTGTAAAGCTTTTTAATGATTTTCACATTTTAATGATTAGGTTACCCTTAGAAATTAGAGGTTTAGTTTATACCAAGAAACCTAATACTAAACTACTAGTCACACCCCACTGGGCAAGAACTGCTTTCACCTGTTAACAGAACTTGACGGTCGGCTCTATGCTGAGACCCAGCAGTGAAGCCTCTGAGTCGTTAAAACTGGCAACCCAAGGATGTGAGGGCAAGCCGCAGTAACAATGGCCTCTCTACCAACTGGGAGGTCAGTTAGGCTGACTGGTTGGCTCATCAGTTCCCCATCTTCCCTTAACATTTCAGGTGTCCTGTTTCCAAGGCTGGGAGTGGCATGAACTGATTAAACCTGGTACTTGCACCAGAGTTCACCTACTATATACACCCTACCCATAGTTTCACATTCAATTCTAATAAACTTAGTTGGTTTCTAAATTCATAGCTAGTCTGAAAGAATACATTTCATTCGGAGAAAAGCACTCTGTTCATTTACCCAACACTTGTTAAATGTCTAAGAAGTGCCAGGCACTCGGAGACAGAGCATTGACCAATACACAGTGATCCCTATTCTCCCTGGTTTATGTAGGGGAGGGGGCTCAGACGGTAGAAGAGTAAATAAAAGTACCTGCACATAATCACAAAAAATTAATTCATTACAGAGTGTGACAGTTGCTAATAAGGATATAAACAGAGCTGAGGAACTCATCCTTTCTCGGCAGCTTCCTTTCCAGTACAGTAAAATATAGCATACAAAAATCATATCATCTGTTGACCCCAAATATACTGTGAAATTGACTTTAAAAAATTAAATCCTTGTTGTCCTCTCGTTATGTTGAAAGCTGAATGGCATTCCAATTCCCTAGAATGGAGGTGGTAAGTGCCAGGCATAAGGCAGCGTCTCCACAGGTGAAGGTTGCCAAAAATGGTCACTGAGAAGTTTGGGAAGAAAATGGGGAGTAAGACAAAGAGCAAGCCTTAAGTTATTTCACCACTTGGTCTAAGGTGGGCCCTCTAACAAGGAAGAACATTTCCTTCTCCTACTTGTCAAGATCACAGAGCACTCTATGCCTGGGATCCATAATCCTTCCTCGTTCCACCCTTCAGGCGATTTAGCAACGTTTGTACAATCACTGGGGCACAAAACCACCATGTGGAAAATTGATTTTTTAAGGAAAATGGAGTATATTCCAAACAAGCAACCCACAAATTGGCCCCACTTAAACTGGAGACTGCCAAGTTAATTTAAAACACTAGCCTTGCTTTCTGCAATGTTTACCTCCAGTCAAAACTCTTATGTCGGAGGGTGGGAGGGTATAGCTCGGTGGCAGTGCTTGCTTAGCATACATAATGTTCTGGATTCAATCCCCAGTACCTCCATTAAAATAACAAGCAAAAAAATTAAAACCTAATTACCTTCCCCCAAAATAAATTTAAAAAAAAAAGCGATCACCTCAACCAACCCTGGAGGAATATTCAGAAAATTACCCAATCTTTTCAAATGTGCCAAACACAATAACCTAATGTATAAACCTACTGACTGGAAGATACTTTTGAAAGCAAATCTGACCCACAAAGGCAATAATAAATTTCCATCAAGGAAGCTATAAGCACAAATTACCGGGCAAAAACAAATCCAAGCTTCATCTGGGCCTCAGAGCAGAAAAAAAAAAAAAGAAAAAAAGAACAGTTGTGAATTGTTATTTTAGAAGAAACCCATCTCTTACAATTCAGATGTAATTTCCCCAAAGTTAACTCCAAGATTTTTGCTAATTTGTTTAGCTTTGCTTTCTCAAACAGTATTATTCAGACTGAAGACTCTAAATGTGTTCCCTGCTATTGCATCTCTACTTCTTATGTTACAAAGTCTAACCTCCAAGTTAGGAAGTTACACCTGAAAGCTTTCAGCTGGCCTTTTAGTCTAACTACCTACAGATATGAATTAATGGGGGGAGGGGGGATAGTCCACTCCTTTTGTCACAAATTAGGAATTGGAGAGGAACGATCTCCCTTTTTTAAAAAGAGCTCCAGGAAATTTTCCATCAATTCCCTCCGTTCACCCAACTCCTCTGTAACAGCTGTGAGAAAATTCTCCCTTAGATCTCTCAGGCTTCACCCTCAAACTCTCCCATCCACCTGTGCTGCTCTCCAATGGAGAGCATCAGCCGCTGGAACAACCGTGCAAAGCTGCCTCCCCCACCGCCCCAGTCTCCTCATCCTCTGCTTAAAAGCCTCCAACTTCCCATTTCACTCAAAATAAAAATCTAAGTCCCTATAAAGTTCAAGTTCTGCATCATCGAGCCAGCCTGCCACCTCCTTAACCCTCCAGCCTCATCTCCTGCTATCTTTCCCCCACGCCCAGCTCACAGCTTTACACTAGTTTTCTGCCTGGAATGCTCCCTCCTCTCCTTGAGGGGCTTTCTCAAATGTTACCTTCCCTTAACCTTCCACCCCCCAGCCCATGTAAAACTGCCAATTCCTAACTATCCTCCTAGGAAACTCTTATTGAACTGATTGTTATCCCCAGTATAAGTTCCAGGAATGCAGGGATTTATCTGTTTTGTTCACTGCTGTGTCCCCAAAATCTAGATCGGTGCAAGTTACCCGACAAGCGTTCAGTAAGCAGCGTGAATGGAGTCATTTACTTAACAAATGTTTGCTGAGCACCTACTTCGGGCTCAGTTTAAATCAAGACAAATAACACACTGTCCCTGACTTTAAAGCACCAGATAGATTAAAAAGTCAGGGCTGCAAACTACGGTCACTGGCAGGTCACAGAACGTGCTCACAGTAAGAGGCCTCGGCTTCGCCTTTCTGGGGACCAGTCCAGCTTCCCACCATCGCGCGGTTCTCCAGGGACCATCCCCAGAGGGTCCACCTCTAGTCCCCTGAGAGGGGCGGGACCCACTCGCCCTCCCCAAGCCTGAAAGTTCTCCAGCAGCGCAACTTCCGGCCTCTTCACTCCGGACGCAAGATTTAAAGAAACAAATTTAAGAGCCTAAGCTCCTCAGCTTCCGCCCCATACCAACTCTGCCCCGCGGGCCATTCCCCACTGCGGCCCGGACCGAACCTCGGCTCGAACCAGCGGTCCCTGCCGGACGACAGTCCGCGCCCTATTTCCGCGGTCCCGACCTGCTCCCGGCGTCCCCTTCGGCTCTTCCCAGCTGCGCGTGCGCAAGCAAACCCTCTTGGGTTCAGGCGAGGGTGGGGCGGGCGCCCGGGCTGGGCACACCCCCAGCGTAGAGCTGGCTTCTGATTGGCTGCCTCTCGCTCTCCCGAGCACAGCCAGGGAGGCCTGCGGCTGCGCCTCTAGAGGCGCTACCAGTCGAGTCTTGTGCTATTGCGTCCTGCTCCTCGCAGCCTCCCCGGGCTCTCTGGAGTCGTTGCAACCCTGCCGGCATGTCTCAGGTATACGCGTGCCCAGCCTGGCTGCGAAGGTGCAACGGGGCGGGAGGCTGGTACGGGGGTCAGCATGCAGACACAACTTCGCAAGGTCTTTCCCTTCCGGGCTCTGCCGCTATTCCTGGACCCATGCCCAGCGCGGATTCTTTTGACAGAGCCCTGTAAGCGGAACTTTCCGGTTCGGGACTCAGAACGCAGCTACCCAGCCCGCAACTGCTGGAAGATTGCCCATGGGAAGGAATTCGCAGTGAAGCAGGAATAGGGGTCGGAGGCGAGGGTCCTAGGTAGACAGATGGGATGTAGTGGGTTACATGGGTCGAAAGAGTAAGGGGACCGAGTGCCCCATGCGAAAGGACGCGGTAGGAGTAGGGCCGCCACGCAGTGTGGAGAAGCAGGGAGGCCCTGTTTGAGATCTTGGAGGTCAAGGGAATTAGGGGCCGAGTGTCCGGCGTGCTTGAGAAGGGGAGGGACGCGCCCTGGGGAGGGGTGATCTAGAGGCCTTTTCCTCCTTCGACTTTAGACGCTTTTCCGGGACCTGGCAGTCAAGGGGAGACTTTTGGCTTCTCTCGCCTCTCTCCAGTCCCGGCACTGGGACAGAGGTCGGCTCCCAGTGGGAGGGGGCCAGCGGGCTCTGGCCGCTGACACCGCTGTGCTCAAGCTCTGTTCTTTTCTCAGCTATTTCAAACCCGCTGTGCCAGCCCTACCCTCAAGTCAGGGCTAACCTGGGACCCCGTCTGGCCCGGTAGTTGCCAGACAGTTGGCCACGCTGCTTCAGTCTTAGCCTGCTTCCTTCACCTGTTTCCAGCACCTGATACCTGGTATAGTGAGAAATCTCAGTACACAGTTGTCCATCAAATGAGTGAACAGATGTGCTTCCCCTCCTGGTTTTGCTGAATCTTTCGGGCTAACCCCGTTGAGGAGATGAGGAAACACTGCTTTTCCTCACCTGCATTGCTGGGGGAATGCTGCCTTTCCAATCCCTCCACCCGTTACTGAACTCTGTTCAGACCTCTCATCTCCCTGGAATTTAGGCTGAGTTTGAGAAAGCTGCTGAGGAAGTTAAGCACCTCAAGACCAAGCCGGCAGATGATGAGATGCTGTTCATCTACAGCCGCTACAAACAAGCGACCGTGGGTGACGTGAATACAGGTACGCTAAGCTGAGGTTGGGAGGGCCCATCAAAGCAGCTCAGCAGCCTTGGCTGGTGCTGGAACTCAGTCTTCAGGAGCCTCACTCTCAAAACTACCCAAGGCCCTACTCTTCAGGCAGGACATGGTGATGGTTCATGGGGTTCTTGGGGTTTCAGCTGGAGAGTTTCCCCAAAGATCATGTTCCTGGATGGAGTTGACAGATCCTGCACCGTTCTTGGCTTCTTGGTGGCTCAGAGAGCAGAATTTAAATTCTAGTTTGGGAAGGACTTTACTGGTTATCACTAGCATTTCCCATCTATTTGGGAGGAAGCAAAGATTCCTGCTCAAAAGAGACTTGCTCCAAGCTCTCAGCTCAGTAATAGTTTTGTCGAACCATACTGCTTCCAGCCCAGATGGGCAGGATCAAAGTCAGAGCACTTGGCAGCCGGACCAAGCCTGATGTCAGGAGCAGAGAAACAGCTGACTTCCTGGAGCAGGTCAGAAGCATTTTTTTGCTGACAGCAAAATGCTGATGACCATTTGTTCCCTATCAAAAAATCTTGATACAGATTTTGAGGCCTTGGTTTGGACCACCACATTCAGTAACGCTGTCTTGCCCGCCTTGGACAGTTTTCATTCTGCCCCTAAGTTCCTGAAACCCGGAAGTGTATAGGAAGAGCACGATGCAGCCTATGCAAGGACTCAGAGGTGGTGGCTACAGTAGCATAGAAGGAGGCCACCCCCACTCTTGTTCGGGAGGGTGAGCATAGGCCCCTAACCCCACTGCAGTTGGGGCGGAGAGTGGAGCAGTTTGGCTGGCTGCCAGCCTGCTGGAAGCAGGGAATGGTGCCCAGAGCTCAAGATCCTGGCAGTGCCAAATCAAAGATCACAGGGCGGGCTTAGACGAGAAAGCTCTTGTGGTGAAGGTGAGTTTTACCCTGGATCTATAAACTCTGCCTCCTCCTAGGAGCCAAGAGGGATGAGGTGGGGGTGACCAGAGTGGCTGAGATGCTTTTCTGATAAACACAATTTTCACAGAGACTGGCCTCTGCCCTGCTTTCACATATGTACGGATAGACTGGTGTGGGAATCTGTCACTTCTGGATCAGCTCACTCTAGAACTGTGCTGTCCAGTACAGTAGTCACTAGCCACATGCAGCCATCTTAATTTAAAGTGAAAATAGTTAGCATTAAATAAAATCAGAGGTTCAGTCACATTTCAGGTGCTCAGTTGCCACAATTGGCCCCTGGGTTGGACAGTGTGAATGTACAACCTTTCCATCCTCATGAAAAGAGGACTGTTGGGATGTGCTGCTCTAGGATTCTGATGATGAGTCTCCAGGGGCAGTTTTGCTCGAGTATCCCTGGGATTGCTTCCCTGCAAGCACCTGGGGGGAGACTTGCTGTTTCTCAGACGCAGTGGTCCAGGCTCTAGGCACTGTGGTTGCTCCCCTTGGCTTTGTCCTCAGCATGGCAGTGAACTAAGTCAGCAGGAAAGCGGTGTGTTTCCCAAGCATAAAACCATGGTATAACTTAAAGGAAGCTTGCCCTCAGGGGAAAAAAAGAAACCCTCCCACAAATCAACAAGAAATAGACTAACAATTTGATAGAAAAAATAGGGCAAGGATATGAACAGACAGTTCAATGAAAAGGACACCCAGAAAACTGATGACAGTAATGCATGAGGGAGATAAACTGGGTGGGAAGACTGGGAGGAAACTGAATTAATTCCGTGGTGCTTGAATTTTAAGCCAGGTGCCTGGATGTAGTACTTGTTTGAAAAAAAAAATTTAAGTACAGTTTTTAAAAGGAGACATTTTGGATTTATTTTACTTAAAAGACAAGGATTCTCTAGTAATGAGAACAGTTTTCCTCCTATTTTCTCTAGATCTTAAGTTTGGGTTTCTGTACGTGTGGATTTCTGAAGGCAGAACCCGCCACACTAGACTCATTTAATAGCCTAGAAGGAATAGATGTAATTAAAGGTGGTGTTCATGGCAAGAAAATTGATCAAGGTCTCCATCAGAACTTGCAGCAGATCTAATCTCTTTCCTTCCCTTGTTTAAGAACGGCCTGGAATGTTGGACTTCAAAGGCAAGGCCAAGTGGGATGCCTGGAATGAGCTGAAAGGTAATTGCTCTAATCCGTATCCTTCATTTGGAAAGCCCGGCAGTGAAACACTCTTCATTAAGGAGTGTAAGAGGTGCGGGGAGAGAACGCAGTGGAAGAAGCACATGCTGGGGAACCAGTTTGACCTGGGCCAGAATGGAAAAAAACTAGGCCACCTACTTTTTCTCCCAATACCATTCATGCCTTTTCCAAAAGCCCCATCTCAGAGCCGCGGGGTCATCTGGAGAGAGGGGAGGGCCCGGGGACCAGGCCAATAGATGGGGAGGCGATAGAGTTGGCTTGGGCTTTATATGTATCCATAAGGGGTGGTTTCCTGCCCACACCTCCCTCTCCCCGACAAGACCAGGCAGTGACTCTCTAGCCCAAGCCGCCCTCCCCAGTTCCCCTTCGGCCAGAAAGGCACATAAAGAGAAATGAGCTAATGCATTGCAAGCTGCTGGCACATCGTAGGCTCGGTGAATGGAGCTATTCTATGCTAAGCGACTTCAGCCAAGAAGTATCCCGGCTCCGACTTAATCACGTGCCACCTGCAGCAGCAAGACCCAAAAGTTGGCACTAAAGTGCCCGCCAGCTTTTGTGCCCTAGCTAGCTGGTTTCTGAATAAGCCCTCTGTCTCCCTTCAAATGAGAAACCCTTGAATTCAAAAGGGGCCAGAGAATAACCACACTCCTAGGATTTGTCAGTAACTGGAACAAGAATGCCCGTCCGGCTGTCCATGCCCATTGGGCATTTCCATGCCATTGTCAGACCCCACATACTTGCCCGTGGGCATCTCTTTCGCCACAGAACCCAGGAAACTGGGCATCACTGTCTGGGGGCTCTCACCCTTTGTATCCCCTCCAAGAGGCAGCTCAGAGTTGTCAAAACTTTGCTCAGAGCTTCTCTCTGGGGAGAAGAGGGTGCCTGGCTTTGTTTTTGGGTTTGTTTGTTTTTTTGGGTTTTGTTTGTTTGTTTGTTTGTTTGTTTGCCACTGGCAGCTTAACAGCTCTGGGAGATAAGAGCCTGACAGAAAAATACTTGTTTGGTCAGAACCAATCGTGAGACTCAGCAGGACCAACAGTCAGTGCAGCTCCCCATGTTCAGTTGGACACGACAGTGGGGCCCTCACGTGGCCAGCAGGCCAGTGACAGGCCTCAGGACAGCTGCACACACATCAGGGGGCTCAGTGCTTTCTGGAGCATTCCCTGTGGGCCAGGCTCCTCCTTGAGGACTTTTAAGTCGAACCATGGCCAGGTCTGTGAGGTGGAGATAGTAGAACCGCCCCTCCCAGGTGAGAAACTGAGCCTCAGAGCCCTAAACCAGGGCTCTGTAAAGTCTGCTGCCTTTCTACCAGCCCGCCTCTCTGACAAATAACCTTGTCAATGCCTTACAGGGACTTCCAAGGAAGATGCCATGAAAGCTTACGTCGACAAAGTAGAAGAACTAAAGAAAAAATACGGAATATAAGGGACTGGATTTGGCTGC